ATATTACTGTATATTACCATATCATGCATCATTCCTATTTGCACAATTAGTGTATATGCAGATAATGAAAATTAATTTGGATGATGCCTTGAGCAGAACATAACTGGGAAACAATATGTTTCAAATAATCCTGTCATACATTCTAAAAAAACCCAATAGAATTGACTTCAAAACCATGCCAATGGTTCCCTTACGACTATAGGAGCCAAGTATATATGTTCATGAAGTTATTTTATATATAACTCAATATCACAATCGTTAGAGGGCTTCCAAACGTAATAAACAGAATAAACATTAAAAAGATTTCTGAAATTTAAACTCTGGCACTGGAAAGGTGGTAAATGCCAAAACTTGCACAGTTTCTCAAGAATAAAAATGAATGGTATATTTTTCAATCCTACGTCAACATTTTTAGGTTATTATCAAGGCATGAAAATGGGTGCAATAAAACCTCAGTGAACTAAACCTATTTCAGGACAAGAAGATTTTTTGTTTTTGTTTCAATTTTCTGGTTAATTGACAGCTGGAAAATGCTTTCTGTTGAAAATCTCCCCAAGGCAGTCTTTTCCTAGTTATGAAACTTGTAACCATTCCGATGGTTCAGCAGGTCAGTGTCTTCAGCTGCAACTACCCTCCGGGGTACAGCTATTCTCCACCTTTACTGAACCAGAGCTGTCTTGTTTTCTGAACCTTTATCTCTGAAAAAGGGAAGTGGGATGTGTGGGGTAGGGTGGAGTGTGTGGGAGGGAGTGGGGTGGGGGTGGGGAAATAGGAAGGGCAGTTAATTCGGGGTTCTGGTTAATTGGGTTCCAGGTAGCTACGCCATCACTAAACATGAACTCAGTGTCTGGAACCAGGCACATCTGATTGCTAGGAAGCGTGAGAGCCTCAAGGAGAGCCTCCAAGGGCATGTCTGTTGGCATTCTCTACCTTATATCATCGCGTCTGGGTGACAATTGGTTTGCTGGTCTTCTCTAGAAGTGTCAGTGTGTCCATCTAAACTCATGGGGCTGAATTAATTTTGATTCAATTCTATATCCATGTCATTTCATCTCAAGAGTAGGGTGCTGGTAGCTATGTGTGGATGCCAAGGAGAAATAAGCACTTAGTTTTCTCTCTCTGACACTTGCTGATCTGGATTTGTTTTTTCGTAAAAACTTTACTTTCAGCTTTTTTTATACCTTAGCAGCTCCCTGTGAAACCTTTGAAACCTTGGTCGCTTTGCCCTGTTCTCCATCACCTAAGTGAAGAGCATGGCGAGCTTATTTCTAACAGGTTAGGAAAGTCTGGGGTGGGAATGAAGCGACTAATTTATATATATTGTACTTTAACTTTGATGGCCTTATTTTACCTCTTCTTTAGTTATACCTTTTCCTTAAGTGAAATACACACACATATATACACATGTATGTAGACATATATAATGTGTACACACAGGAATATAAACAATCTTCATGTCTTAAGGAGAAAGTGAGATAATTTAGGACAGGTTTCTGAGCTTTTTGAAACTATGAACCCTTATGCATACTTTTCAGAAATTATAGTCCCTGGTCATACCCAGATGAAGGCCTGAAAGTAGTAAAAGAAACCTGGGGAGAAAGCATGGCTACTAAGCCCCATGATCATTCTCCAAGGCCAGCTTTCAGGAAACATAGAATAAAAAGCAAACTCCCCAAAAATGTAAGGCCCGAATGGACTACCTTAATGGGTCCAATACCGCATATTCCTCACAGGACTGCAGGTCGCTCACTAAACTGTCCTGTGATTTGTACAGTAATACCCAATACCACAGAGATTTGGTGATGGGGGATAAACTATACTTCATTTGGAATTTTATAATAATTTGAGGCCCTACTGGAGGAGAACTATGTGTATTAGTTTTCTTTCAAAGTTTCCATTTTCTCTTAGGCTTCCATCTTGTTCCTGCCTCCATGTCCACATCCATGGATCAAGACCTGTATGTGCCACAGCTATGTACACGGCCCCATAACCACGTGCGTGCTGGGGCACCGTGCCTGGCCTTGTTCATGAGCACACGATTCTGATGAACTGGAGCAGCCCCCCCGAAGGAGTGCAGGTGGGGACACTGTCCCGCTGTCACAGTGAAGCTGTTTCCTATACGTGTAAAGGGCATTTTGGTAGAGATTACAGTTGTTTATGGCATTTCCCCCAGTAGTTTATGAAAACTGTGTCCTTGCCTCGATAGGAAACCCATTCCTAATACTAAAGTAGGACATTTTGCAGATCCCTCAGCCTGGCCCAAAAGTATGAGGTCTGCAGGGGGTGTGAGGGACATGGCCATCCATCCAAGCTGTTGCATCCCTGTCAAGCACTAGGTTAGTGATTCTGCACAGCACTCTCAGAAGGAAAGTGATCTCTGGTATCCATATTTTTTATTGTGTTAAAATATACATAACATAACATTTACCATTTTAGCGATTTTTAAGAGTCCAGTTCAATGGCATTAAGTACATTCACACTGTTGTGCAACCATCCCCACCCAGCCATCTCCAGAACTTTTTCTTCTTCCCAAAGTGAAACTCTGTCTCCATTAATCACTAACTGCCCATTCCCCTCTATTCCTAGGCCCAGCAACCATCATTCTACTTTTGGACTACGGATTTGACTATTCTAGGTGCCTCACATAAGTGGGGATCATACAGTATCTGTCCTTCTGCGTCTGGCTTATTTCACTTAGTATCTACATGGTTCATGCATGTTGTAGCATGTGTCAGAATTTCATCTTTTTAAGGCTGAATAACATTCTACAGTATATATACACCACATTTGCTTCATCCACTTGCCTACTGATAGGTATGAGGGTTTCCTCCACCTATGACTATTGTAAATGCTGCTGCTATAAACACAGTGTACAAATAACTTTAAACCCCTGCTCTCACTTCTTTTAGGTAAATATCCAGAAGTGGAGTTGCTGGATCATGTAGTAATCCTAGGTTTAATTTTCTGAGGAACTGTCATACTATTTGGTATTCAGTTGTTTTCACACGCACGGAATTTCGGAGTTGCTCTAAGCACTAGGTGACTTACAGTGCTTCACCTGAGGGCACAGGGAGCGATCCAGGCAGGTGAGCCAGGTCCTGTAGGAGCTTGAAGCCCCGATTACCTGAGGCACCACAGGAGCCTTCTTCCTTCCTTGGCCTGCGGTTATGAAGTGGCACACAGAGTCATCCTACAGGAACACCTGATGCGTAAATGTGGACACTCACAGATGCCAAAGTGGGAGGGGCATTACCAAGCAACTGATCCAACCCACTTCTTTCCCTTCATAGTGAAGGCACTTTATAAACTGAAAACCTTCTTTCCAAGAATGCTGTGCAGAATAACTAATTAGTGCTTGACAGAGATGTTTTAGTTTGTGAGGGTAGAGCAATAATAGATAATTGCATCACTCACAACTCTGTCAGCCCTAATATCAGCCCTTCTACCCTTTGGACAGCCCCTGAATAGCTTTGAATTAATTCCTTATAGAACTCTTTCATCATAAGTCACTTTTTTGTCTTCTTTTTCTGATTTTGTGGTTTTTATTTTAAACATATGCACTTAAATCTATCTCTAGGATTTGGGGCTCTGCTAATGTTTACGCAATAGGTATGCTCCTTCATTATATAGCTGCTTGGGAACTGCTTTATTAACAGTGATTATTCTCAATTCCAGAGAATTATAATAAAAGCACTGTAAGTCCTCAGTGATATTTTGAATGATAGCATTTATCATACCCAAGGAAAATGCTATAAATCACAGTGATTACCTACAGATTTAAAATGCCCAGAAGTTTCTCAAACATTTTCTGGACAGCATCACTCGTTATTTTTACATGCACATCGACTCAATGGAACAAAAGAAAAAAATGTTTAAAATTCCTACAATGAAAGCTTAGAAAAGTACAAAATGCATATATATTCACAGGCACATATGTACATTTCCATGAATGCTCACATACATCGAAGTACGTATTTGTTAAGCCAAGCTCTTCTACTCTTTTCTATTAACATGGAATCAATTATTCTTGTCCTCAGCAGAAAGGTGACTGGCTTGTTCCAAAGCTGAAGCAATAACATGCTGATCCTCACAACAGGTCAGTCCGGAGAACTTATAACCCCATACAAACCTGAACTAGCTGACTTGGTCTTTCTGGTTTTTTAGAGGTACCCCCCTTCTCACATGTTTTGTAAAATCAAGTCACATTTAAGTGTATGAGGGGGAGGGATATTAGGATGATTCACTCTGAAGGAGAGCAATGTATTTCCCACCCCAGGAAAACAAAGCATTTCTCTTTAAAGTGTGTCTAAAAGTCCAACAAGCAAATTTACAAAAGGAATGTCGCTGTCATTTTAGCCTAATAACAGCACTGTTAGCCACCCCTGTTGAAAACCAAGGGCAATGAATGACTGGTACTAGTGACTCTGGAGGAAAATTGTCAGAATAATGACATCGACTTGGCTGGACTTCAAATGTGACGGTGATGAGAGGACTTTAAAATTCTCTTTTCTGAGAGATGAGTCAATGTGTTAAGGGAAGTACTAAATATATTAATTTAGTGATGTTTAGTACTAAATATTTAATATGCTTTTTTACCTTTAACATTCCTCTTCTCAGTCACATGAGCTAAAGCAGTGATTCTCAGAGTGGGGTCCTTGGATCAGCTCTATCAGCATCACTTGGACACTTGTTAGAAAAGCAAATTCCCAGCCCACCCCAGATCTACGAAATTAGAAATTCTGGACACAAGGCCGAGCAAGCTGTCCTGTAACAAGCCCTCCATATAATAGTGATGCAAGCTCAAGTTTAAGAACCACTAAGTGAAGGCACCACCAATACTCAGAATCTAACTAACCCCAGCTCCCTTCCTCAATTCTAATTCTCAAGAAGCTTTGTTAAAAGAAAAGTCATGCATGTGTGTATGTGTTATTAGTTATTTTCACCTAAGAAAATGTTTACTATTGTTTGGTTTGAGAAAAGAAATCTTAATCAAAACTTACATGTAATTTTTCCAGGTCCTGTGCTGGCTTTGAGTCTTAGGATGTAGGGAACTGGGCAGAGGGAGAGATGAGAAGGCTGCAGCAATCCATTCAGACATGGACCCCAAGGCTTTGTGGGGCAACCTTGTGACAGGTCAGCGAGTGTCCACCTGGTTGGGGAGGAAGAGTTGTCCATTAGCAGAGTGAGCCTTGCATGTTAGCGTTTCCCCTCCCTCTTGCCATCCTGCTCTTCCTTGCCCCCTGAACTATGACCTCTAAGCTAACTTACTGTGCCTCTGGCTGTGTGCTCCTTCATCGCATCCACATAAACAGAACATGATGAAACAGCCTATGGTATTATGGCTGGGCTCAGCCTCGGTGGAAGCCCTATTCCCCAAGTATTTCCTCCAGGTGAGCATCCCTCACCGGGTGCTGCCCTGAGCCCCAAAGCAGCTTGGAGACAGGTCAATAACTCCTTTATTTCACCTCATGAATGTTTTCTTTCAACAAATCAGAACACCTTGGTTTAAAAGACACATGTGGCTGCAGTAACAAGGCATCGCAAGAAGCAAATGATAAATTCGAGAATTCTGACTGAAATGAAATGATTCTCTGATGCCTCAATATGTTTATTTTTAAACAAATATGACTTATTTTTTTCTGATGCTAAATTAGTGCATGCCTATTGTAGACCATTTGGAAAACACAGAAAAGCATAAAGACCAATTGCAACCTTGACACTGATAACTCATTGATGATATTTTGTTGTGTAGATTCACGACCCCATCACTGAAACTCCTGGGCCAGGTATACTTTAGCATCCAGAACTGTTTGAATTTTAGAGAGTATAATGATGGAACTACCGTTTATCACATAATACTCCATCACAGTCTGGAGCAGCACGCTACAAACACATTAAATATTTCTGTGGCAAAACAGATGCATGTTCCTATCAAGTCAGATAAAGCAGAGCCTCACATTAATTCAGGTTAGGTTTTTCTACCAAAGAAGTTACCAAAAATCCCTTTTGATTTTGAAAGCTTTTGGATTCAGAATTGGGAATAAGGGACTGTGGACTAGTATTTTCTTTTAATCTATACAAAAATACTCAGAGTTTTGTTTCTAATTTTTCATTCAATATTGTATGAATGTGAGCATTTTCTCACGTTAATTTTTTTTCAAACACATGCCTTTCAATGTTCATGTAAAACTCCATAGAAAAGGGTTTTATTTATTTAGCTATTTCTCTTATTTTTGGAATTACATATTGTTTTCTTTCTTTTTTTGTTTGCTTGTTATTGCCAATAACACTTTGAGGGATATATCTGAATATCACATTGTCTGAATATCTGAGTATTTTCTTAGGTAGATTCCTAGAAAAGGAATTATTGGGTTAAATGGTGTAAACTTTAGGGGGCCTGATGACTTTCCAGAAAAGCTGCACCAGTTGAAACTCCTGCCACAGCATGAGTGTGGTTAGTATGTTTAATTGCTCACTTTATCATAAGCACAGAAAAAAATACACTAGCACATTACACATCTTAAAGTTCTAATCAGTGACAACCACATTCAGATTTTAATTTTGTTTTTCTTACACAGAAGATAGTGAACTGTTTTTCACAAAATCAGAGAGTGATGGGATTAATGTAAGTTTGCCATCCAGTTGAACCTCATCAGAGCAGACTGAGTCAGATCTGGGCAATGGAGGCGTTGCCACTTGTCTCTGGGGGTCTTAGCTTGTGCAAAGGGATGAGGGAGTACAGAAATAATTCACACACCATCCTAAAAAGAGAAACTGTCAGCTGCCTATTATCTGTGGGCTTCTGGGCTACTGAGGCCTGGTGTTTCCCTTCCTTGGGGTGTTTTCCCATTTCTTGGACATTTTGCTGCTTCTCAGCATGGTCATAAGAGAGCGGAAAGAAGTGTGAAGACAAAGCCAAATCAGAGAAGTCAACCGTAACGGCCCTCCTGAGTGCTTACAGTGTGTCAGTGCCGGTGCTGGATTCGTGTGCATTGCCTCATTTAACAGGCAGAGCACTAACATAAAAACTGGGGGTGTGGAATTTGAAAGTATGTGCACCCCCATCAGTCCCTCTTCTACACTAATATGTTGGGAGGAATCAGAGGTTTGGAATTTCAAAGATCTATTCAAGCCTAGTGTTTTGAATGAGTCCAAGATATTTCAATGACCTGATGACTCCAAGTCTGGCTGTAAATCATAAACTTTACACCTTTATGCTTTTTTTGTTGTTCTTAGCACCCTCCTCTAATAGCATCTACACAAAGCAGGGAAAACTGGTATAAATAAATTCTTTAAAAATTCTAGATAATAGTAAACCCTCTGAAGGTCTTACTGACAGGAGGGAGGCTGTATCTCGTAGAGTACAATAGAGTTGAGAGTCCATTATATAACAGGGTATACACAGAGAAGACATGAAGACACATACATAATACATACTTTAACATACAAACAAACATACAAACATGAGCTTCCCAAATGTACTATAAATTAGTAATGCTTAATCAGGACTCATAACCCCAAAGGAACTTTATACTCACAGCTTTTCTAAAAATTTTTCTCTTTTCCCTTTATATGCACTTAACCTTACAGGATAATTGGTATAGAGAGCATAACAATTTTTATAAACAAATAAAAGAATATTGAAGAGATATTTGTTATATAGAATGAAATAATTTCACTCTTTCCCTTATCTATAAACTCAATTTCTGCATAGTAGGATATAGCATATAGTATAAGATGGCTGAAGTATGGAGAGAGTAAGAGAGATGCAAAAAAATTTTAATTTTATTTTGGAAGTAAGTTAAATTGATTTTCCCAACAATCTTATCTAAAAGTAAGGAATGTTTCTATCAAAGTTATCTAAAGAACAAAAGGCTATCAGAAAGTGGACCAGTAACGTCTCTGTGACTTGTCTTTGTAATTGTAATAGCATTCCCCTGTAATCGGGTGTCAAGTGGGTAGAATGGCTTCTAAATGTTTTTGCCATGATCAGCTATATGGTTTATTGTGGAAGTACACCAGGACTATAAGGTGTGAAAAAGAAAAGTGGTAATAAAGGAAATGACCCCTCAAAGAACATACTTTGTTTTTTCCAGAGGGCCTAATTGCTTGTGGGGGTGGGGGTATAAAAAAGGCAAACCACCAGTAATAACAGAAATGATCGCCAGAGCTCTTCAGATACTCAAACTACACAGCTAGCATTTCTAAAGCTAATTACAAATTTGGATTCTCTCATTTTAAATATACTTCGAAGCGGCCCACTTCAGTTTTAATGCTGAACCAAAGTCTGTGCAGTTGGCACATTATCAAAGCAAAAAAAGCATTGCTTGAACAAAGCTGCCACTTCCAATGTCACTAAATTTTCAACTGCAAAATACCACAAGCTCCAAACTAGTTATGCCACGTGGTTATATTCTGTTACATTTACAAGCGTTTATAGTTTCCCAAGCCCTAAGAGACTTAGACCTCTGCTACTCACTCTAGCTCTATTCTCTCGGGCAGGTCATTCACTGTCTCTGAGTCTCACACAGTTCATAGGTTCCTGTGAGGATTAAATGAAAATGCAGACAAGAGAATTTTTGCAAACTATAAGACATGCATAAAATGTTGGGTATCATTATTCTTTTCACTAACAACTTTGTGAGGCATAAACACATTAACTCTCATTTCACAGTTAAGAAAACTGACAACAGGAAGATATAGCCAAAAGAAAAAGAAAAATTGAGTTCGGATATTTGAGTTTTAGCTCTGAATTAGTCACGAACTGCCTGAGTGACTCTCTGTGACTTGATTTCTGCAGTAAAAGGAAGGGGTTGGGTAAAATGACTTTATGGTCTTCTTGAGGCCAGTGGTCCTATAAAGTTGCCCCTGGTAGCGATGGGCAGCCTTAAGAAAGACTCTTAGGAAACGGTCCCTTGCGGAGGCTAAGGACATCACCCACCAATCTGAGGTTGCAGTGTTGGGGCAGGGTGCTTGAGCAGCCTCCTACGCCCAGGTATAAGATAGGCATCAACTAACTCTTTTGCTTGATTAAGGGGAAGTTGGGGACATCCCTACACAAATGGCCAGGGCTCCTGAGACAGAGGAAGGAGCCGCTGGATACGCTTGAAACAGCTCTTTATTAATTAATATAGATATTCACTACTCTAACAACTGGTGTAGCTAAATAAGTATATACTACCGGAATATCAGTGTGACTAATAGCCCCACTGCAGTTTGGCTATCAGTTTCAAAGATAGAGTCACCCTGTGGGCCACCCACCTTTCTTGACTGAGCTCCTACAGTGTCAGAGGGGAGAAGTAAAAGAGACACTTTTTGTAGTATGAGCGCGCATCATTCTCACATGGAAATTTCACTTTAAAAAGGCTGGGGCCACTAACTGAGGTCTTACTAGTGATATGTCTCAGTGCTAATTCAGCTGCCTGTGATGAGGAAAACATTCACGATCGGTGCCGTCCAACATGGCAGCCACGAGCCACATGTGGCTATCGAGCACTTAAAAGATGCCTGGTGCAACTGAGGAACTGAATTTTAAATTGTAATCAACTTAAATGAATTGAAATTCAAATGCCACTTGTGGTTAGTGGTTACCCTATTGGGCAGTGCAGCTCCAGGTAGGCTGCCTCACATACTAGTTTTCTTGGATGTATTTCAGGCCCCGGAAGCCCATAGGCCATTAGCCATTCGTTCACCAGGTATTTGCTGACCTCCTCCTGGTTGCTGGGCACCATTTATGTGTCTCAAAACAGTGATGAAGAAGAGAGCCATGGGCACCTTGCCTTCATGGTGTTTCTCAGCTAGACTGATTTCCAAAGACCTCGCAAAACCTTGAAGGGTTTCTCACCAGACTGCTCTTAGGAAAAGGTGGGTGAGGAGATATGGTAATGCTCCACTAAGCATGAAAGCACTGCTCTTTCATTTCTCCATCTTTACTGTTAGAGAAGCCGGGGGAAAGTTTAAAAAAGAGATAGCTGAATGGTCACTATTCATTCACTTACAAGTAAAGTAGCATATCCCAGATACGAGAAATTATCTGTAAGTAATTTCCTCTTTCACAAACTTAAATTTACTTAAAAGAAAAAGTCAGTGGGATCTGCATTCTCAAGCTAAGAAAAAAGTAAATGGTATTTAATTACGGCAATAGTCTTA